GCTTCCATACAATTAGAACTTCCATGAGGGAAATGCCTTAAAGCACAAAAACAAAGCCTATGATCAAAGCAATCAAAATTTGGTGACAACTTAAGTGCCCCTAAGAGAAACGATAAAATTCATCAACCATTTCTACCCCTTAAAAACTTCTTTAAAAAATAGAACAAAACTACCTGAATTTGATTAAACTATTCACCATAAGAACACCAAATATCATTTTAAGTTGTAAAATGTTAAATTCGTTCTCATTAAAATAAGAAAATAGTGGATATTTATTATCACTTGTATTACGTAGCATTGTTCTGGATGTTCTAGCAAATGTAATCATACAAAAAAATTGTTATAGATTCTGAAATAGAGGTAATTACCTTTATGAGAATATGTATTAAATTTTATTTGATTTTAAAGGTAGTAACACATTGTACAAATGAAACATGGTGGAAAGACTTTACCTGTGGTCTCCAGACACTGACTTCCCCTCAAAGAAACCAAGATACTATACAAATGAACAAATGTGGTTGTGTATATGTGTACACACACCCTTTCTCCAAACAATAGCATGCTGTAGTGCAGTGACAATTATTCATTATCGTGAAAAGTCTTCCATTTCAGTAAATAAAGAGCTGATTATTCTCTTTAATGTTTATTCTCTTTAATGTCCCCTTCACTCTTTTATTACTGCAAACACTTATATAATGAATAGGTTTCTGCAAGCATCAGTAATTTGTACCAGTATAACTGTAGCATATTGTTCTAGAAGTAGAATTACTAATTCATGAGTAAGACTATTTATTTAACAGCTTTATTGAGAAATAATTGACACTCAATAAACTGAATATATTTAAAGAATACACTTTAGTAAGTTTTGACACCATGTACGCATATACATTGTTGGCCATCACCAAAATCAAGATGATAAACAAATTATCCTAAAAGCTTCCTTTATAATTTATCCCATTCTTCAAGCCCTCCTATCCCAATTCCCCAATAAAAAGTATTGACCTAGGGGTGGCGCCTGTGGTTCAAAGGAGTAAGGTGCCGGCCTTATAAGCCAGAGGTGGCGGGTTCAAACCCAGCCCCAGCCAAAAACTGCAAAAAAAACCCTATTTTGACATTATACATTAGTTTGCACGTCATAGAAATTTCTATAAAGGGAATAATACAGAATGTACCCCTTTGTCTGGATTCGCTCACACAGCACAGTTATTTTGACATTCATCCATGTTATAGTGTGTGCCACTCCTTTTAACTGCTGAATGGTGTTTTGTGTGTGTGTATGTGCACACTCACATCCACTCCGTAAACGGTGACATGTGTCCTGTATGAGTGTGGATTCACTTACCCTTGAATGGAATTTTGTATTATTTCTATGTTTAGACTATTCCAAGTAAAACTTCTCTGAAGATTCACGCGTAAGTCTTTGCATGGACCTGTGCTTCCATTTCTTTATTGATCTAGGAGGAGAAAGCCTACGTCACATGGCTGGTGACTTTGTAACTTCTTAAAACACTGCCAAACTGTTTCCACAGTGATCATACCATTTTACGTTCCCACCAGGGATGTCTGAGGGTTCTAGTTGCTCCGCATCTTAGCTACCACTTGGTATGACATTTTAATTTTACAATGTATAAGTGTATAACAAAACCTCATGGTTTTTGTTTGTGTTTCCCTGATGACTAAGGATATTGAACATATTTTCATGTTGTTACCTGCTATCCTCGAATCTTTTTAGGTAAAACATTTAGATTGTTTACCTGTTTATTTTTACTTATTGAGAGTGAAGTGTTCTTTATATATAGATAAAAGGCCCTTAAAATATGTAACTTTCAAAATTTTTCTTTTCATATGTAGCTTCTCTTTTTACTGTCCTCAGAGTCTCTTCTGAAGAGTGTAAGTTTTATTGTTGATTCAATCCAATTTATCAACATATTTTTACATGAATTCTGCTTTTGATCTAACATCATGAAATCTTTAGCTAACCAAAAGTCACAAAGCTTTTTGTGCTATGTTTTCTTCTAGAAGTTTTAGGTTTTACATTTAGATGTATG